TTACGAGTATAAATAACAGCCCCGCCGCATCTGGGAGCTGGCAGCCCGGTCTGGAAGAAGGAGCTCAGAGCCGAGAGTGAAAGGCCCTGTGTTCCAACCTGCTGCCATGGTGGCCACTCTGTTTCTTTATATGTTACTCACACTTATGAAATACAGTTCTTAATGCTTGTCACGCAGAGATAAGACAGATCTTACTCTATTAACAAAAGCAAATGTGCAGGCACCTGTATTGGGTCCACAATTATCTTGGCTGGTTAAAACCACAGGATAAGATTAGTGGGAGAAATTGTGACTGCTTCTCTGTGGGCAGATATTTGTGGTTCCCTCTCTCATCAGGGATGATTTTTCTCAGCTACAGAAATGTCACGTTTTCTGGTTTAGGTAAATAACTAAAGAGTATGCAACAAAGGTTTGGAAACCTCGTGTTTTCCTAACAATGGATAACCTGTTTTTGTTGCTATCTCCTGTACTGCTGATCCCCTGCGCAACAGTTTGGAAACCTCGTGTTTTCCTGACTATGGATAACCTGTTTTTGTTGCTATCTCCTGTACTGCTGATCCCCTGTACTGCTGATCCTCTTGTGCCATACACACCCAGTTTTCATGGTCACACTGAGCAGGGTCACACCCCCACACACTCCACACATGCAGTTCAGTCCCTGGTAGAGAGTTATTTTCCAAAGGCGAGGATCTTCAGGCAGTGGTTCTCTCTCTCTCTTTTGGGAGAGTTTTTCCCAGCTATGGAAACACCATCTTTTCTAGTTTTAGCAAAAAACTAAGAAATTGCAGACATGCTGCCTTCAGGACACACTTGCCAACTCTCCTGTTTTCCAACAGTACCAGTCCAAGGACCAGATACTGCTCATCATGGCCTGATGTGTTCTCTCCCTCTTAACTCTGTTGCTAGCAGATGAAAAATGCAATTCACTTTCATTAGTAACTTCAGGGGACCCAGCCCCAGAGCCAACTTCAGACTTCTTTCTTGAGTCTGAATCATCTGAATAGAGATCACTTGCGGACAATGTGTTAATTATAATGCCTGTTGTTGTACACATTGTGACACAGAAGTGCCACACACCTTGGGCAGTGTCTGGGCTTGGACACTCAAACCTTATAGAACCATAAAAGTGTTAAGGTTAGAAAAGACTCTAAGATCATTGAGTCCAACCATTAACCCAGCACTACCATGTTCACCACTAAACCATGACCCCAAGTGCCACATCCACATGGCTTTTGAACGCTTCCAGGGATAGTGACTCTCCCCCTTCCCTAGGCAGCCCATTCCAGGGCTAGACAACCTTTTCGGTGAAGAAATTTTTTCCTCATATCCAGTCTAAACCTCTCCTGGTGATTTCTTCTTGTCCTGTTACTTGTTACCTGGGAGAGGAGACTGACCCCCACCTGGCTACAGCCTCCTTTCTGGTAGCTGTAAAGAGTGATAAGGTCTTCTCTGAGCCTTCTTTTGTCTAGGCTAAGTATCCCCAGGTTGCACAGCTGCTCCTCGTAAGAATTGTGCTCCAGACCCCTGTGCAAACCGACAGCAAAGGGCCATGGTCTGACATGATTCCTTTCAGAAACAGGCCAGCCTTGGCCAGAGGCAGGGCAAGACAAACTGCCTCAGAAAGCTGCAGGCAACATGGAAAGGCAGGCCCCTGGAGCACACAAAATTAAATACCCACATATGAGACTTGGCTATCTCAAGAAGGGGGACCATATCTGCTGCATATAAATGCAGAAAATGAGGGCACCCTCACACTGATGGCATAGCCAACAATACGCAGCATTTCTATCCCTTCTTTTTTATAATGTGTATCTACAGGGCCACAAGGAAGATACTGACGAGCAGTCAAGGAATTCAGCTGCTGGTTTGCTGTGCAGGACTTGGGAGGAGCTGGAGGGCGAAAGTGATGCATGGAAATTAAGTTAATTTTAAACCGCAGGCAAGAGAAGAGACTTACTAGCAGTTACTTAAGAGAAGCTGCTGACTGTTTAAATACCATTAAGAAGATTAATGTCAGCCCACAGAACCACTGAAAAATTAGGGCTGAAAGGGACCTTGAAAGGTCAGCCCAGTCCATTCCACTAACCCAAGCAAGATCACCTAAACCTCGGACATCCCTGACAGATGTTGCTTAACTTGATCTTAAAGCTCTCCACTCCCTAGGCAGTCTATTCTTTATTATTCCTGTCATTAGAAAGTTTTTCCTAACATCTAAATTGAGCCTTTCCTGCTGTGACTTAAGCCTTCTTTTTTTCTTTTTTTTTTCTCTCTCCTCTCCTCCATCACAGACAAGGAGCGATGATTATGCCTTTTTATGTGCTTAAAGACTTCAGTTCTCTCCTCCTTTGGGTTAGAGAATTTCAGTTCTTTCAGGCTTCCCTGGTAGGTAATGGTTTCTCCATTTCCGCTTGTTCTCCCTGCACTCTGCTGGGCTGGATCCAATTACCCCCCATCTCCCATTAACTTATTTTCTATCATCTCAACACCACTTTGATCCTTTTCCTGAAGAATTGCCACTTAACCCATCACTCCTTCCTCTGTACTCTGGGAATTCATACTGTTGCTCAAGTGTACGACCTTCCACTTTTCCTTATTCAACTGCCTCCTGTTTCTTCCAGATCATTTCCCCAATTTGCCCACATAGTTTTAAACTCTAATCCTGCCCAACACTACATCTATGGTTTTATTTCATGTGTAAAATGGAAGTCCTTATGTTCATCCTTCATAACAAAACATAAAAAAAAAAATAAAAATAAGCCAAAGTGAACCAGACCTAGGATGAAACCCCACTCAAAGCCAGCTTTAACCTGGACAAGAAAGTGCTGCCAGCAGTGCCCTGGGTGAGGTTATTCCAGCAGGTTTGTACCAAGTGACTTCAGCCACTCCTCATAAGGCTTCCCCTCCAGATGCTCCACCATCCTCCTTTGGAAATGTTCAAGGCCAGACCGGATAGGGCATGGAGCAACCTGATCTAGTGGAAGGTGTCCCGGTCCATGGCAGAGGGTTGGAATGAGATGTTCTTTAAGGTCCCTTCCAACCCAAGCCATTCTGTGATTCTACTGGAGTGTGTTTCCCCAGCTGGCTTCAAACACCAAACTACTCTGAGAGCCACACGAAGTTACTGCAGTCGGGCCTCTCCCACCTCTCCCCTCCACCTAAAACCTTTTTGTGTTGCTATGTCTCTGTCCCACCTGTCTTTGACCCACACACCATCACCTTCCCCCTCACCCTCAGCCTCCCCACTGCTGTCACCCGGGCCCTGTGTGCCAGTAGAACCTTCCCCGGCTTGGGGAAGTGCCACGGGAAGGACAAAATTAAATAAAAGTAAGTAAGGACGGTAAAATCGGTGTTATTTTAGAGGTAAATCCCTGCTATTTTGAGGTAAATCTGTTAGTTTTGAGGCAGCCCTGTTTTGCCGCCGCGGCTCTGGGCGGCGCGGCCCGCGGCTGCCCCCTGGCGGACAGGAGGTGTCCCGGCCCAGGCGGGATGAAGACGGACCAGATGTCACTCGGGCACGGGGGACAGAGGTTTTACTGCCACCGTCCCGTCCCCCACCCACCTGCGCCTGTCTGTTCTGCAAGTGAGGGCATTTCATCACCCCGTCACGGTCACAAAGTAGGGAAAGGCAGTGACCCAAGCCCATGTGACCCCACAACAGATGTGCAAGAGACGGAACCTTTGCTCCACAGGCGAACTCAAGTTTACCTCAGTGCCCTATGGACACCTTCTCTCCCTGCTGCTTCACCCAGGCTCCGAGTAGCATTTTGGCCTTACACATTACTCAAAGCAGGCTGATCTCAGCTCATTTCTGGCTCTCTCTAAACTACCCCACTCAGCAAGCGTCTCAGTGCACCTCATGCCCCTGGCCCCACACCGTGCCCATCGTGCCAGCAAGCGCACCTGTGGCTTGGCTGCCATTCCCCGCAGCCTGCAAGGAGCCCACCTGCCTGATAAGGATGTGCCTCCCAGCAGCACAGCGACTGGCACGTACAAGAGGGGACCTGGGCAGGCAGGCAGCACCCCTCCTAATTGAATGAAGGAAGAGGAACACTTGAACTCGCTCCAAAAGGAAGCTCAAGCTCCAGCTTCCCCACATTCATTTACTTGCAGAGCTTGCCTAAACCTGCAAGGAGGCATCAGCTTGCAGACAGGCGGTTGGAAGGAAGCAGAGCCAGGCCAGTGCAAGGCAGCTGGAGGTATTGACCCTTCTGGCAGTTCGGATGCAGACTTTGGGCTCAGCTTAAACACGTCTTTCTTCCCTTCTCCTCTATCTAGAACTGGCCTTTCCCAGCCATTAGTTTCTTCAGCATGATGCATTCCAGCTACAAGTCCATTCAACACTGTCTACCCAAGCCCTGTAAAACTCAGCAAGGCAAATTCCATCAGGTCCTTTCGTACAGGCAATTCCTGGGGATAAATAAATCTACTATCCAATATCTCATTTTTGTTTTAAACACACACAAAAATCTATGGAATATTGCAACAGTCCAGTTTATTCCAGGGCAGAGGCTTAAGGCCAAGACAATGAGCAAGAATCTCTCAAGAACAACTCTCTGCCCTTCAGGTGATGACAGCATTGAAAGGTACTTCTGTGAGATGCACAGAAAGCTGTGGTGCCAAAGCATGATAATGCACAGGGAAAAAACCAAAACAAGCTTCCTAATGCAAGTGGACAGAGCAGCTATCACTGCCATTTTACATGCATCAAAGCTGTGAGCTTTAAATGCTATGAGTAGTAAGGAAGGAGTGCATGTAAAATGCAGGGTGATGTGATCACATAACTGAGAGATCCACTTTCTAAGCCTCTCACAAATGGGGGTTTTTGGTTGAAAGTTTTCCTGTGCTCAGTACATTGGATGAAGGCTGCTCAGCAATTAATGCAAAAAGTGCCACAGAACAATGACAGCTGCAGGTGCAAAGAAAGAAATGCTAGAAGCATAATAATACTTCAACATTTATTTTACTCAAGACACAGAAAGAATTACAACATTTCACAAAGCTTTACAATACTTCACAATACAGAAATGCTAACTGTGCTTCCTGCTTAGACTAACCAGCAGGGAGGTCTTTCATTCAGACCTTTACATCAGTAGGTACATAAAGCTGTTTTCTTTATTTCAGGTACATAAGAAGTGACAGGAGACATGTATGGTAGAATCATTCCAGTTTGGTTCAAGCCCAGGAAAATCTCCTGAGAGGGATGCTGTGCTGTTGACTGGAAGTCACATTCAAGAGGTATTGCTCACACCATGTACAAATGTCTGCAGTCAGCCAGTTTGCCATGGTCCCTGTGTAACAGCACAGGGGCTGTGCTAGGCCACGGGGCTCCAAAACAATGGGCACACTGGAGGGGCAGAGAAAAAACAAAAGCAGGAAAGCTGACTCAGGTTTCTGTTAGAGGGCATGGTGCTCTTCCATCCTTCTCCCAGGCTGCTAAGCAATTCAGCCAAATGCATAGGTTCAAAAGAGCAATCAGCAACACTTAGGAAGGCTAAAAAGAGCCAGAAGAGAACAGAAGCTGACAGCTCCTCTCTATTGACAGTATATCAGCCAAAGGGCTAATGGATATCTGTGTCTGGTCCAAGGTTATGGCTGCATCCTCATGCAGTAGGATTTTATTTTTTTGCCATCCTGCAGGATGACAGTAATGCAGTCTCTCAGGCCTCTTCTGCAGCACTTGCATTACAACACAGACCAAACAACTGCCTGCCCCATGCAGTTAACTTCAGTAATGAACACTACTCCTGATTTTTGGCAACTGAAGTATCAGCCTTAGAACCAGAAACTATTGTGTCTTTATTCTGGCTGCATTAAAGAATGGTTTCATGGGAAGAAAAAGAAGGTACCAGTCTGCCAAGTAGAAAATTTAACTGCTTTGGAAAGAAGAGAACATAACTATTTTCAGTCCTCTATATTGCACTTATATGCATGTTGTCTTTATCATCCAGAACTGTCAGAAACTCTTTCTGGAATAATTAATTTTCAAGGGACAAATAGGAAAGGGTCTGTACGTACATCGAGGGACTGAGAAGCCATTTGTGGCATCACTGTTCAGTCAGTTGCACCTGAGCCACAATTAGAATATTTCATGTCTAGGTAGAAGGGGGCTATTCCTGGGTTGTAGTGACAGACCTTCAGCTGTGGGGGACAGAACATGATGGGGTCTGGAAGGTCTCATACTATGAAGCTATTGCCAGGAGCCTTCTATGTTTGGGCTAATACAGACACTTCTAAATCCATGGCACAAACCTGACAGTTAAAACAGAAAATGCATTTCAGAGCACCTACACTTCCTCCCTTTGGATCATCTAAAATCCACAACACTTTCAGAGAACTGTGGACTAGTTAGACTAGTGGCTAAAACCAGCCATTCAACAGAGCATTCAGCTGACCAGCCCAATATTACATACTGCTGTCTGCATGTTTGTAGCTTTGCTTAAGTAAATGGTGACATCTTTCCAGGTAAAAATAGAACAACCCTGTCCCAGCTTACCCAAAATACTGCTGCTGCTCCATTTCATGTAGCAACTCAGACCTCTTCTGTTCCTGAGTAGCTGGATCCTCCCCTCCAGACAGTCTCAAAAATTTTAGGAATTGAAGTGGGAGGTGTACACATGTTCTGAAGGGCATGGACATCTAGAATCACAACACAAGTCACCTGAGTTCTCAGGGAAACACATCCTCCTTCTTATCAGGACAATTTGCATGCTATGCAATTGATTTCTTGGAGCACTTAAAAGGTAGACATTAATGCAGTGACCTTTCTGACCTGTTTATAAATAGAGCCCAGTGTAAACCCAACCACTTTACACAGGATGAAAAAAAAAAGAACTAGAGTTGTTTTATCTGAGTATGACAAGAGATATCTGTGTCACCCCTGCCTACTTTTACGCATCATACTATTCCCTCTGCTATTTTCTTAGAAAGCTAGAGGGTAGATTTGAGGTATCAGTGGGATGAAGGAAAGCTTCTTATTACTAGGTGAGGAGGAGGGAAAGCAGAAAATGTAAAAATCCCATATGCTGTTGTAAAGACTAGACTTGCCTTAATGCAGCAGTCACAGCAGACAACCCTGAAAGACAAAAGTCTCCAGCATTACCATTTGAGTAAAGCTCAGCAGCTACCAATATTACAGCTACAAAGTAGCTCATTCCAAAGTAAGTCTAAATCCATGATTATGGCAGAATGACTTGATGGCAAAATGAACAAGCTGAGATCTCCACTATTCAGTGTGCCAGCTTTCAAATTTCTGGTAGTTTAAATCACCTGAAATGTACCAACATCCATAGCTTCAAGGCTTTATCTACAAATGCTCATTACACTTCACCCAGCACTACCACCAGACAGTTGCTCAGTTTCCAGTGGTTGCTTACTTGCTGCTTATAATCAATTCAGTGCTTCAAAACTGCTTCAAATACATTTAAGTGAGCCTTAATGAGCCCGAAGTTCCTCTCTCACTCTCTCATGAACAGAAAGCCTCTGACAAATAAGTGGATACAAGTAGGCTCAACTCCTTTCCCAGTCACAGGGTCTGGAGTTCTCTTTTTCAGTCCTTAATGGAAGATTCTGGTGTAGACCCTCTCTCAGAACCTGTTCAAGCCCTGGGCTGAAGTTAGAGCAAACCTTTAGAGCAAAATGCAGAAAGTGATCTCAGAGAAACTAATTTAATACTGGCACAGGAAATTCGGCTATTGCTGACTTAACACTAAGAGTTAAAACTGAGATGCGACTTCAGAGACCAGATTTTCCACATCCTCCCCAGCTGTAGACACTTCAGCCTGGCTTGTGCAGTAAGGCAAAGCTGAAGAGCTCAGCAACCTGGTCCTGTCCAGCCAATGAATACTGAGAATTCTCAGCACTGTTTCACTTTTTTCTCCCTCCTCATTCAGTCCTTTTGTACCAGCTCACCTGCTGCAGAGGTAACATTTGTAAGGCCACTTAAGAAACATCTGCTTACGGCAGCTGAAACAGATCTGTGGAAAGGAAAGTTATTTGTGAATGCAAATGGGAAACATCTTTGTACCAACAGTATCCACTGCCTGCTAAAAAGCAAGCACATAAACAAACCGTCTAAAGGCTCTAGGTTCATATACAGTAACAGAGGTCCAGTAAAGGATAACAAAGATACAGGAATGAAAAGCTAAAAAGGCAAAAAATTCTTACTTGCAGGCAAGTGTTTTTATAATGCAGAGGTTTGGGGCAGCTGCCAGACAACAGGAGTTTTAAAAAAGGCTCTTGAGCAAACAATAGCTGTATTGTGCAAGAGTGTAACAGTAGCTATTTAAGAGAGAAGGAAGAAGAGAGACATTCTTTGAGGTAGACTGCAGCAATCCCAAAGAGATTAAATCAGGGCAAATTTGAATTCAATCCTGAAGCAAAAAATGAGTCATAAGGAAGCTGATGAGTCGCTTGAACTTTATAAAAAAGAGCACATTCATACACAGCTGGCAGTCAGAAGTGATATTATCTTGAGAAGTAGAACTTGAGAAAGCTAAAAAAACAGCAGTGGGTAAGAAAGCCATTTTAGAATAGTCATAGAGCAGGCAAGTTAAAGCAGGGTCAGTAAGGTGAGAAGAAAACAAGGATTCAGTCTCAGGAGCATCAGATAGCTTGTGGAAGTAGCATGGCTCTGCTAGTAGAACCTTTGACTCTGTCCATACTGCTAAATAAATGAGGGCAAAAAAGTGACCCAAAAGCCAAGAATCACTGACTTCCTCACATCTGTGTTGCAAAGGGCCTGTACTCAGGACATCTGCTCCGGAGGAGTGGTTACCACACTCCCTCTAAAGGAGACTCAGGGATAAGGCAGAAGTTGATAAATGATAGCCCTGAGCTATACAGCTCCTTCCCTGTCCCCCTTATTTCCCCCACCTTCGTGTCCCCTTGGCAAGGTGGTTTGAGTCAGCACAACTCTGGTGTGGGAGCCTGAGTCAAGCGCCTTTGTTTCACTGTTTAGGAATACCAAATCCCAGCTATTTACTTTGGGATTTCAGAACTGATCAGTGGTCAGGGCAGTCAGCTCTCCTTGCATGGAAATCAGACAAGAAGCAAAAAGCAAAGGCTGGGCTACTTTCTAGGCAATTTATACAGCTTCAGCTAGATTAGAAGCCATCACTGCACAAATACTAAAAAAATTTTCCAGCCAGGTCCAAACTCAGATCAGCTGTTATGAACAGGATAAACTGAGGCAGAGGGTGCCTCTGCAGTTCAGCACAGCAGGCCATGAAACCAGCCAGCTTTTGAAAAGGCAAGGACAGCACAAAGAGAAGGAGGATAAACATACCTTTGCTCTTAGAAAGACATCACCACTACCTTCTTGGAAGAGGCCTTGCCCTTTGAGCACCATCATTGCATATTTAGTTCCAATCAGCTCAGCAATGGTCAGTGATGGGCACTTGGTAGGAAAGGGACAGTCCTATTGGAAGACAGACTAAGCTGAAGAAAGCAGCTATTTGGGGAGGTCATCTCAAAACGGAGTCCCAAAGGATCAGGAGCATTTTTGTCCAAAACCTCATTTTGCTTATGATGGGGAGTAGCAGGTGACTCTGACAATACCAGCAGAGAAACTACTACAGGCAGGTTAGTGGCTGCTACAGTTTTCAAGCAGATTCCTTTGAGACATTTTACCCTTTGGAACAGGCCACAGAACAGATGCCACCCTGGCCTCTCCTGGATACAAAAGTCCTTTCCACAGCACAACACTCTCTTGCCCTTCCCTTTCCCGAGACCTACTGGCCCCATACAAATGGAAGCTGTGGTCTCATGGTCAGCCAGGAGAGACAGCTGTGCTTTAGTCCACAACACACCTGCATCCCCCACCACACTGCTGAACAAAGAGGCATCAGAGAGGTCAGTTAGAGATTTGCCAAGGTGGGGCAAGGAGACAAGGGCACAACACCTTGTCAGGGCAGAACAGGGTGAGGCTGTAATTCAGAAGGTTGCACAGAAGCACACAGACCCCAGTATTTCTCCCAGAACTATCAGTCACACCCCGATAACTTCAGTTCTACATATATTATACATTTAAAAGTCACTAATACTGTGCTATTCACATTTTGTTAACTACTTATTGCCCCTTACTGCAGCTTAAAAGATACTTGTCAGCATATCAGAATCTAGAGACAAGGAATGGACATGAAGAAAGCAGGATAGCTCCACTCTTAATTACAGTCTGCTTGAGGAAGCCTTGATGGACACTTTCAAGTAATGTCATGGTATTTCCCTCTTCTTGTATGAGAAACAACTTTATTTCATGTCATTAAAAGGGAGAAGCCACCACAAGGACACTACAGCATCCAGTCTTCTCTAAAGATGTCTCCAAGGAGAGAATAACATACCAACTTCAGATAGGTGTACCATATGTCTCAAGACAAAAACCACATGCTTACTGCTTAGAGCATGCTTACTGCTTTCATGAGGATCAAGGTGCAAGTCATTACCGGATGTATCAGACCAGGGCTGCTTGCTGACACGTTGGACTTACAAGCTCCTTGCTTTGAAGGCCTCTCTCTAAAGACTTGGACCTTCCTCTGTAAGGAAGCAGCTGCTGTTGGCCAGTGCTCAGGAAACACTTAGGCTTAATGTCCCCTGGTGTGGGTGCACTCATGGGAGGAAATGTGCAATTTGCAGCGAGACCTGGGTAGCAAGAGAGAGTTTTAGGGTGCAGAAAACCCACTGTCAGTTTCTAAGTATTCACCCTGAGGGCTGGACACTCAAAAGCACAACACTGCTTTCTGAAGGTAGCAAGGCTTACATCTCTCCCCCTCCAACCTATCTGCTCAGATCACATAAAAAGCAGAGGTTACAGTAATTATGCTTGTCAGTAGGCACTGATGAGGCTTCATTAGCACTATTTAGTTTAATAAAATGAAGTGCTGCACTTTCTACTTGAATATTCAAACCACTCATTTAGCTTTTACTGCAAATTCCAAGTCAGGCCTTTGGGGACATGTAATCATTGTTTTGAAGCTGCAGGAGCTACACAAGCTTCAGTCAACTGCAGAAAAATTATTTTCTAAGGGCACTTCCCCAGACTCTTACTTCGAGTTGGAACTTCTCCTGCAAAGTATCTCCAGGTGATTAAAGAAGTGTACATTGAACCCAGCCCAAGGGTTTGGGAGCCCATCAGGCCACTGGCTGTACTCTGTCACCTGATTTAGATGGGTAGCCAGAAGTGCACTGACCTGTGCTGCTGCAGAACACTCCTGATGGCCTGGTGGAGGAAAGGCAGGTGCTGGCAGGCAGCTTGGGAGTGTTTTCCTGTAGACCAGAAGACAGGATGTTCACAATCTGCATATAAGAGACACCAAGGCCACTTCATCAGAAGTACTGCTGCCTAACAAAACTCAGGATACCCACAACTGATCAGAAATGTTCAAGGCTCAGCCAGAAGTGGAGCAGAGTGAAAAATCAGTGGCGTACATTTAGAAACTTTCTGTTTCTTCTTGGAATATAAAGTTAATTCCCCCTGCACTCCACAGTTAGGAAATTTCAGCCAAGCTAGTGAAGTTTCCGACTCAACTGTTCTCTCTCTTGCCCAACTCCAATAGTGGATACTAGTATTAAAGTGGCATCTGTTTAGGAACCAACTTTGCATAATCATCCCCACACAACCCATGGAATACATTGGAACCATTTTCTTGGCTCCAGCTCACACACGGCAACACTGCAGAACAGTTCAAGAGACTGACTAACCCAACTCATTAATTCAACTTAAACTCAATGCTTTATCTCAACAGCATTGTTTCTACCTTGTCTAGAAAAGCAAAAAATAAATTTGATTATATTAGTCTCCATATGAAAGTCCTTCTAGTTCAGCAGTAATACCTCAACCACAATTCTGAACATTCCTCCAAGTAGCTCAGACTGGGCAAATATAGCTAAGATTTCCTGCTTTTATAATTCATATGTGTTTTCCTCAGTCAGACAACTGCATTTCACACAGAAATATTTACAGAAAACAGACTCCTGTTTGTATGCCAGAGCATCTGTGCTACACATGATGTGTTAGGGCTTAAGTTCTGTTCCACAGAAATTTGGAATATGCTCAGACTGAATCCCAGAACCAAGCAGTCAAACTTTTCACGACAGAGCCAGGAGTTAAAGAACCAAAAGTCTGTGTATTGTGGTTTACTGAAGAACAGTGCTCCCAAAATAATTCCACAGATAGGTGGGAATTCACCCATCAAGTTCCTTCCTCAAAATACATCACAAAGTTTTCCTTCCATGAGCTCACTTACCACATGAAATCAAAATACGTCAATACATCTAGCATCAAATGCCTCACTTTGAGATAAGAGTGGGAATATTCTGGTCCACGTTGGCCAGACTCCTATGCTATTATAACTCTGCAGGATCTCGTTTTAAGAGACCAGAGCAGACTTCAGTTCTGCAGAATCACAGAATATCCTGAGTTGGGACACACAAGGATCACCAAAGTTCAACACCTGTCCCTGCACAGGACCACCCCAAGAGTCACACCATGTGCCTGAGAGCACTGTCACCCAAGAGGGCACTGGGCCCTGCACATAAGACAGCCTTCTGGACTATGCATAGTGGAATACTTTAGCAACTCTCAAATTTGAAATCAAGAACTCCAGGAGCTCTTTCAAGACCAAAAAAATGTTACAAATTAAAGAAACAGGGGAGGAAGTAGGAAGATTGAACATCTTTCTTGTACAAAGATGTCAACTCTTGTTTTTCTAGTACCACATTTGGCAGGAGAGTCAATTCAAAAGTTAAGTAAAGTTAAGATAACCCCCTCCTCCCCCACACAAATACAAGTCAGTAGCTAAAGTATTAGCTTTATATTGTTTCAAAATGTCCAGAATTACCTTGTTTTGCTATCATCACATGCAGCATCAGGTCACCTACCAGTTCTAGATGAGGCTTGAGAGTAGCTACATCAGATTTGCTGGTCTCGTGCTTTTGCTTGATGGTCACCTGAAAAAGCAGAAGTGATGCTTAAGAAATAGCTCTTTCTCTGCTCCTTATACACTGCCATTCAGTGGCACAGTGAATGATACAAGTCAGGATTTGGGAATAGGGGAGATGGGGAAAGCACTAAAAAACAAAACAAAACAAGCCCAAAACAACAACAAAAACACCTTAAAAAACCAAACAAAACCATAAACACCAAACAAACACAAATCCCCTGCAAAACAAACAAACAACCCCCAAAACAAAACAAGGAGCTGGGAAGTGTGGAATAATGATGTTTCCTTATATGGGGTTTTGGTAGGGAAAGATTTGGCCGCAGCAAACCAGAGGCAATCAGAAGTACTGCACAACCCTTAGAGGCTTGCACAAGGAGCACAAAGCCTTTTACCCCGAACTGCTCTGAGAAGCAGCTAGAAAACACTGCATTCAGATATTAATGTCAGGAGTGATGCCAACAAGCACCATGGTCACATCATATTCATCAGTAAAAGCTCAGCTCCAGGGAGGAGAGCAATTGAAGGGGTTAACAAGACTGTTACAGGAACTGCAGCAGCAGGCAGCTGTATGCCTAAGCCAGAGTCCCAGAGACTGGCTTCCAGCCCGACATAAACTAGGAACAATAGCAAGATGGAATTCCAGGGCAGATATTCATGTGAAGCATCAAGCCCTGTGCTTACTGCATAGGGGAGAACTAACAAAAAAGTCAATTGCACATGCATGTCTTTAGCTGCCTTGTTCACTTATTCCTATTTTGAGGCTATGCCATTTTCTTTCACTTGTGTGTAGAACTTCAGAACACGTGGGAGTGCAGGTAGAACAACACTACAGCTCGCCACACTAGCCGTGCTTTCATTCATTTGCAAATTAGACCACTGGTTGCTAGAGAAGCTTTAAAATAGCTTTGCAGATGGGGAAATCCTCGTTTAAGAGCCTTCACAAAGACCTGAGCAGTAGCACTCTGCTTTCTTTCAGCATATTTCACTACTACTCTTCAAACATGTTTGTGCTTCTCGTGAACCAAAGAAAAAGTTACTAAAAAGAAAAAAGGGAAGGAAAAAGAAAAGAAAAAAAAAGAAAATCACGGCCCAGATCATCCTGCCACCTTGAGTTATGGTTCTGAACTGCACAGTACATTGATACATAGTAAATTGCAAGGAATACAAACTAGTTATGATGCACGGTCTCCTTACCAATACTATTAATTTACATATCCATCAAGATACCATTTGCAAACACATGACATAGTATAACCTGGAGGCTGAAGCCACAATCAAGCCAAGCAAGATCTGGGATTTTATAGACGTGCATGGTTTAGCTGAAGATTTTAAACCTGCTACACTCTAGCAGCACCAACAAAGAGGAAAAAAAAGCTGATGTCTAGTGCAGTATGCAAAGTTTTCACTTTTTGTAATACTGCTCTTTATTACAAGAAGACTTGTGTCTCATCCTCTGCCAAGATGTCTGTTTGCAAAGCACGCCAATGCCACAAGGCCTTGTGCCAATGTTTTAGATCTGCTCATCATTCCCAGCTCAAGCTGCAGCAAGTAAAGAGCATCACAAGCCTTTAGAGACACCCTAGACGTTTTTGTATCTGATCATCTTCACCAACCAACTGGTGAAGGTGGAAGTCTCTGCCCCTCTGTGTGACTGGCTCAACATTTTTTACCCTGACTAAATTCCTGCAGTAGCTGAGTGCACTGCCCAGAGGCCTCTGCCTTTGGCTAAGCAGAGAGCTGTCTCAGAAGTGCATCTGCACTTCCATACACACCACAGCATCTGGGAAGGCAAAGCAACAAGTAAAAGATTCCAGGTGCAGCACAGCTAAAGGAGCCTGGATGGACACAAGTGTCCAAGGTGGAAAGCACAAGGAAGCAAGAGTGTGTTCCATGAAACTGTTGTGTGCAGGGCAGAATAACTGCTGCAGGGAAGTGAGTGGTCGACCCTGGAGAGAGAAGAGATTTACTGTTCTGATTCATGAAACTGTGGCTACTCCTGACTTAAAAAGTTACTGGAAATCAAGTACTTGGGTGCACAAACAGGGTGATCTAATGTTGAACTGCAGCTGAGAGGGAGCCCCAGACACTTGTGGACTTCGACGTACCTTTTTTTAAAAAGGCACACCTTTGGAGAAGAGGTCTCAACACATACTGCTCAGAAATGAAGTAGAATGGATGTTTCCAAAGCTGTCTGCTGACTCCAGTCACTCACCTTCCGCAGGGTGTACCTCTTGTGCTGAATGTCATCCAAAAGCAGCTCATAGAGAGAGCGGATACGTTCATTTGAAGACGCACGCTGTGGTCGCTCAGCAGCCTTGCGCAGCTTCACACCAGCCTGCAGCTCACGTATGACACTGCGCCACGGGCATGCCTGGGAGAAACCAGCAAGGGCCAAGTCCGTAGCTGGCTAGAACTCACAGAGCAGCATCACCTCCCTCCATGTAACAGGGCACACTTAACAGCTGAAGTCATTCAGAAACACAGAATTGTGTCCTTAACATGCCCTTCTACTCACTACCAGATCAGGGTGCGGTACCAAAGCAGTGAACTGCTTTTATTTGCAGAAGTTAATTTACAACAAGGAAACTTGTAGCTGGCTCAACAGGCTCATTCTGAAAATCTGTCATTAACTTTATGGATGTACTTCAGCAAAATACAGCTTTTGCTGCCAGGTAAATAAATAGACCCATTTTCTTTCTGCAAGTGCTCCAGGTATCAGAGTGTTATCATATTACTGGTTCCTAGGAAACACTAGGAATGAAATCCCAAACAATACCATTAAAATCCTCCAAATTTTCAGAAAACCAAGGGTTGAAGTATCCAGAAACAAAAGAGGAAGACAAGTAGGCAAGCATACTTAACAGCAGCATAGGTTATCAGTCTCAGCCTAGAGACACAAGCTAAAAACCCTGACATTTGCTCATCCTGTTTCTGTACTAGTATCTGAGGATGTTCAGGCATGCAGTATAACCCAACAAAAGCTAAAGAGAGGGAAAAAAAAGGTAATCAGAGAGGGAAAAAAAAGGTAATCAACTCAATAGCAAGTTTAGACAACAGTGGAAAGTGTCATGGTTTGAGGTTGGCTCAATGCCAGTGCCCCCATGAAAATACACTTTCCCTAGTGGCTCCTGCGAGATGTGATCAGGAACAGAGCAAAGCAGGCTCCAACTTAGGAATAAAGGAAACAAACTTCATTAACTACAACATCTAGAAAGGAACAGACACAAAACTAAGAATGAAAACCTCCAAATACATTCCTCCTCCTCCTCCACCTTTTCCTCCACAGCATGAAATAACACCATAGATTTCCACCCTGTCGCTATCTCTCAGATAATCAACTTCCAATTCATCACCACCCCTTAGATAATAGACTCTCAAGTCCATCAGGGAGAGAGGAGTCTCCCCTTGCACCACAGGCTTTCCCCAGAAACACAATTGAAACCTCTTGTGTTAAACAAGAGAGTTCTCCTGGCAGTTCTCTGCTCTTTTAACCCCCTGTGTTCTCAGAGGCAGTCCATACCTTCAGTGGCCAAACCAGGTGCCAATATTCAAATCCAAGCACTGACTGGTTTGACCACAACCTGTGTAGGAATGCGCCCCCTAATGACAGAGTGGCAAAAACTAACCTTTGTCCCCCAAAAAAGGAAAGAAGCCCAGAAGCTTCTCTCAACTGTTAGGTGGAAAGCCACCTCATAGGGCCTCAGGGACTTCACCAAACACCAGAGAACACCTAATTGGATAGAAGCCAAAAAGTCCCGCCTGATCAATCAAGTAGAAAAGAACAGAACAAAAGAGAAGAGGGGCTTTTGTGTGAAGTGTTTCTACCAGGGGCAGACCTCTGTACCTGGCTAGAGTTTTTCTATTTGTTATTTTACCTTTATTAAACCTTTTTTGTTTCTAACACCACAGCAGAAGCCATCCTGCTTATTTTATGCCCCCAAAGTGTAGCTGAGCTATCCTTGGGTGTATTAAGTGTTTTTCTAGGGCTTATGAGAACTGGCCCCAGGACAAACAACTTAATAAACCTCCCAAAAAACTCACTTCCTTCTTAGCCTACAACAGAATGGAAGTGCTAAATCAACAGCTTATCTTAGATTTCAAGGTGAACATCAACCTGGACATGTAAGCTGTGCTGAAACTGTACAACACGCTGTCACACTGTGGTCTGCATTTCAGAAGATCCACTTTGTATCAGTCATCATGAAAAAGTGTGGTCCATAGAGCACATTACCTGCTTAGCACCACTCAAGACATCGGCTCTAACCAGTGGGACCCCAGAGAAGCTGGCATCCTAGTTATTTTAAACTCAAGAGATTGTCAGAGCAATACAATCAGCTGGTGCTTAGGGACTTGGAAACTAGAAGCAGAAGATTCACAACAGACATCCAGCTTTTGGAATTCATGCCTCCTGAAAGAGCAGAGGCCAAATACACTGGCCTTCAAGCCACATGGCAAAGCCCATGTATTTATTCATGTATTCCCTGCAGAAAAGAGCTACAGCAGTTGATGAGTTTGTGGTTTGAGATAGCTTGCCAGTTTATTTTAATAGATCACAAAATTGAGAATATGCCCAAACACACATTTCACAAACATTTTCATACAAATAGTTTGAGCACGCTTCAAAGCAAGTGCTATTTAGACAAAGAGAGCGAGTCCACAAGTCTCTCAGGACTTGCTGTTTGTCTCCACAGACTCCAGACTAGAGCATTTGTTTACACTAGGCAGAGCTCCAGCCTGAAGAGCTATTTGTTTCTGATTGAGCCCTGACTGTGTAGGGCCTTGAAAAAGCAAAGTAAGTTGCCTTCCCTGCCCCAGACACACAGTCCAACATCTATGGAAGACACAAAAGGCAAAGACAAGAAAGATAGTGCACAGAAGGTAGGAGTGACATCTCCTCAACCTCTTTCACTCCTTTATTTGAGCTCCTGGAGCTGCACATCCACAAAGATGGACAGTGCTACTGGCCTTCAGTCCCTGCCAGTCCTGACCCACAGAGATACCACATAATAGTCCACCCCAGGACTATCAACAACAGAAGAGTTTTCTGTGATTCAGTCCAGCTATATGAGAAAGGAACAGATTGCTTTTGGCAGGTGTCAGTTCCTGCCAAGAGCTAGAATTTGGGGCTCATTTGTGGGAAGAAACAGCCTGCATAACTACTTGTGGGCATTTACTCCAAAGACTGCCTCCAACTTCATTTTTAGAAGTGGTTTAAGTTGTACCACAAAGACAATCTTTGGGTAGAATAAAAGCCCACGTGAGGCTGACATGTGAAATAGTTTAACTTCAAGGTCACTCCCCAGCTTGTTTTGCAAACAAGTCTTTAACTACTCAGGCTACTGAACAACCTAAGTAGTTCAATTTGAGTTCATGCTCTATTTTTCATAGAAGAATCAATGGAAAGCCTCAGAGAGCCAACGCTGACAAAAAAACCCCAGTCCCCATAATGAAAAAAATAAGTATCGTACACCATGGGTTTTCTTCTCTTGAATGGGATTTTCCATCCAATCTTCCACATCCATTTCTCTCAGTCTCTGAGAAAAGCAAGCATATGAGGTCATCACTCTACACTCCTCAGTGATTTCCTATCTATCTAGCATAAATTACTAATGTTTACCTGAAAAGCCAAGAAGCTCCAAACACTTAACTTTCAAATGCTACAATAAATAAAAATGGTTCAGAGACAGCAACTATTCACATTGTGAAAGGAGAACTTCATCCAGGTGCTCCATTTCTAGTGCAATGAGAAGGTTACTTTAAAACTTGGTGAGTGTGTGAAGGTAGAGGGAATAGCAGCTAATGGGTAATCCTAAACATACTTTTTTGGAGGTCTGGATGACGGTCATAAGCTTCTGCAGTTCCATATATTCAGTAAACAGATTCTTACAGGTCATTTCATAATGGCTGGTATCTTCAGAAGGCCTGGACAAGTGCTCCTCACAGGCCTAAAAGAAGTGCAGCTATTTAAAAAAGATGTTGAAGTTTTTTAAAAAAACATGGTAGGATGGAATAAAGCAAGATTCTGTTTCCTCAATCCATGGTTAAAAATCATCTTCTTCACTCCCCCCTTATTTTTTTTTCTATTGCAGATAGAGAGGAACAAAGAAGGAAGATATTAAATCTTTTATGTACAACAATGGAAGTAGCTGTGTAATTTGTTTATCTTGTTTTCCTTAAGGTGTGCTTTGAAATAAAAAGCATCCCCTGAAAGGGGAAGTCTCCAGTTCAAAGGACAACAACTCACAGCAGATGGAGTCACCTGCCCTGCTCCTTTTCCTTGTCCTGATCAGACAGAGGGATGGGAAGTTTCTCATACCTTTAAATTATGGCTGAGAGAAAAATATCTGTTTGAGTTGAGACATTCAAATCCCAGCCTTTGCAGAAGCCAAATACTATGGAAAGGGAGTTTTTCAATATCCATAGTGTTCTAGGTATTGAATTTGGAGACTATGTACAGAAGGACTTTGTACACACAGCTGTGGGAGAGCTGTACTCAGTCTTCCTTCTTAATTATTTTCCACAGGCACTTACAAACATCTTAAATGGTGTTGCCTTTTCCCTCTGATGGGAAAGCCAATGTTCCCTCTCTGTCCTCCAACAGCCCACCCAGCTTTTTCCCAGAAATGGTCTTGCCTCTTGGTCAACAGCACTGTTCCATCAACTCCTCTAAAACTGCTATATTTACTAAGGGGGAAGAAGGAAACCTTGATAACATCCTGCACGGTGACTGGTGGTTTTGTTGCCTTGCCATCCAGCTTCAACATGAGCCGCAGCAGTTTCTCCAAAGGATCACTCAGTTCTCGCTCCATGTGGCTGCTGAGTCCCCAGTCTAGGCCTTCATAGATCACCCCTCCCAAATACTCCAACAGCTGTAGACAGAGACCAAGGAAGTAACACAGCACAAAGTGTTGTGGAGAACATCACAGCTCTTATTTGCCAGCCACGTGTGCGTACTCCTCTGCTCCTGAGGACTGAACACACGTCTCAGGATGAGAAATACCCCCATTTAAGCTGGTTTAAAGTTTTTAAATGGCCTTAACTGGCACCTCTAAGATATATGTCATTAGGACAAGACTGTGGCGTATGCCACAGTAGACAGCATCTGCACCTATTGGTTCCCAGTCCCATTGTCTTACTCGAGTTCAGTCCAAACATTTTGTTTCCTTTTCCAGGTTGCAGGGGAGTCACTCTCACAGGCCACAGCAAATTCAAACACCTTGATAATTTCCTAAGACATCGGCATCTCCTGAGCAGGCCTTCTACTACAACAGGAGTGTATGTGCACACACAATGACACAGGTAAAGACACAGGCTTACCTTGTCCTCTGAATGCTGAATGCTGCCAACATCTGAAAGGGAAAAACGAGGATCAGAGGAGAAAGACAGCTGTACAGACATTGATAAACAGCTTTTAGAACCCTTTTCAAGAGAGGGGAACAGGAAGTATTGTTTGTAATAAGGTAACTAACTCCTCTGACTAAAGTCAGTCCTACCTGGGGAAAGTAGGCCAGTATTTGGGGAGCCCTGGAAAACACCACGGGAGACTCATGTTATTGTGAGCATTAGCCCAGAGTAACAACTACTGCATTTTGTTGTTTGCTAATTGATATCCAGCCTCCAGGGGTGGCACAGGATCTTTATTCTTTACTACCCACTCCAGTCCCTGAAGGGTTAGCCTGGCACTGACCTCTGCTGCAGTCCAGCCCAGCCCTACATAACACAGAGTTATTACCACTTGCTGGGCTACGCATAGTGACCAAAAAAAGGGAAAGTACCAATCATAAATCTGCTGTGAGAGTTACCGTAACAAAGGAACCATACACTGGAAGATGAACAGAGCAGTACATATAACAAAGCCTCAAATAACATAAGTGGTAGAAGGCTTTCATCACAGCTATTCCCTAGAACCAAATGACTCAATAGAGCACTATTAGAGAATTTAGTAGGTACATTGTGGATAGATAGAATGTAGGAGAATAGAGATAGTGGTAATCTCACCCCTAAGGAGTTACAGCTGTGCTAATTACCAATAATTAGGAACAGGCCTGCCCTTAATAGGCCACAGCTGGATCCAGTTAGGAGGGGTATTGTAAAAGAGTAGGTTGGCTGGTCCAGAAGGTTGGATGGGCTTTGTTGGCTGTGCTGAGAAGAAGGAGAAGGAGTCAGTGCTGTGAGGAGCTGCTCATGAGAAATCACCAAGAAGGCATGAAACCTTTGCAATAAGATGGCAACAATACATCTGTATTATCACTCATCTACAGTCCTCTGAAATGAAGCATATGCAGGAGAATAGCTTAATGATGCATGTACACACAAAAGAGGGGGGAAAGAAAAACATAAAAAGCAGGAGAAAAGAAACTTCCTCTACTTTGTCCTCACATTTCAGCCTGTTATGGAAGAAAACCCTTGGCATCTGCAAGTATCTAGGCTCTTACCAGACTTGTAGAGCTTGAAGGAAGCAGTACCATCAGCATGGATAAAGATGCTCTCACAACCCTTTATGAACACAGAATGGAGTAGAGGGCTGTGGGCCAACTGCTCTATTTTTCTGCAACACTGAAAGCAGATAGCCCAGGCTTGCTCCTCACTTAAAGGCTGCTCAAAACACCTCAGAAGCTCAGCTAGAGAGACTTCTGCAATCTTCTGCTCACCTCCTGGAGGCTCCATTTTTCCTTTCACTTCTAACCTCCACTTTTAGCCTAGGGAGCTCAGAACTTCCTTTCCCAGGCTGGGCAAGTCTTCACAGCAGCTTTTTATCCGTTGTAGCTCTTGGTTTGCTCTTATCTCTCTTCCCTACAGGTGCAACCAATCAGTGCCAACTTTCTGCTCCTCCTTTTTCAAAGCACATGACTTTATCTGTACTTGTACGAGATTTCTTAAAAGAACAGAGTAAGTGTACAACAAAATGGAATCAAGAGTAAGAGTGTACAAAAACTGTGCTCAATTTATCTCCCTTGTTTCTCACAAATATATTAATTGCACCAATGTTTGCAAGCAGAAGAAGAGTATATTCAACTTCAAGCAGGGAGGGAAAGAGGCAGGAAATGTCTTGTACTTGAGAGGAAAACTCAGAACACTACAAAACTCATTTTCATAGGAAACTATTTCAACAGCACTAATGAATTACAGCAGTCAACTCCATGGGGCACCTGCAGTGGCCCCCTCCCATAGCAAATTCCAGCAGTAGGAGCTGTGACCATGGAGCGATCGGGATGGCCAGGAAGGTACCTGGGGCATGGGCAGCAAGGCCCTTCCTTGCCCAGAGCGTGGATATCCCAGAATCAGAGGATCGACTGAGTGGGAAAAGATCTCTGAGGTCATTGAGTCCCCAGCCTGTGACGGAACAGCAGTGTCAGCTGCACCCTGGCACTGAGGGCCGCATCCGCTCTTTCCTTAAACACCCCCAAGGACAGTGACTCCAATACCTCTCTGGGCAGTCTGTTCCAATGTCTGATCACCCTTTCTGTGAATAAATTCTTCATAATGTCTAACCTGAACCTTCCCCAGTGCGTCTTAAGACTATATCCTCTAGTTCGGATATGAATTGCTCCTGGTGCCAGCCGATCACGCAGCTTTTTCAGCACGTTGAAGGCTGTGTGCGGCACGAGAAGGAAGGCACAGCCGCACGGCTGAGGACCGGAGTCACCCCCGGCCCACGCCTGCCCCGCCTCACTGCTGCTGCTTCGCTGGCTCCCCACGGCCACAGCTCCCGAGGCACGCAGTGGACAATTGCGAGGTTTAGAAAGTGTGAGTAACGCTCGTAATTTATCGTTATTTCCCTTCTCGCTTATATCATTTGAGAATGCAGCGCATCAGCGCCAGGCCCCGGGCCACGACGCACCCCCGCGGGGCGATTTGGTCCGGCCCGCGACTCTCCCCGCCGGCCCGCCCGGATGGTGCCGCCCACGTTGAAGCTCGCCGCGCGCAGCGGGAAGATGGCGGCGCCCAGGGCGGCGTGGGACGGGCGGGACGAGCCTTGGAACCGGCTGGACGTGCCCTGGCCCGCGAACAGCGCCACGGTGCCGCTGGCGGCCCGTCACCCCGCAGGTCCCGGCGCGGTGCCGAGGGTTGGGGGGTGTTTGAAGCCGCTCCCGGGTGTTTGCGGCGGGTGGTCGGTCGGTGGCGGGCGCTGGTGCCGGCGCTGAGGCGCTGCCCCGGTCTCGCCCGCAGTGAGCTTACTGTCGGCGCTGCGGCGGCGGTGCGACGTCGCCGGGAAGCGGCTGTCGGGGCCGGGCCTGGCCGCCGAGGGACGCGTCCTGCGCGCCGTGCTCTACGTGTACCACAGCAGGCTGCTCCGGCACCGGCCCTACCTGGCCCTGCAGCAGGTGAGCACCAAGCCCGCCTGGCAGCCGGGTACTCCCGGCCCCCCGTCACCACTCCCCGAAAAGCCTTTCGAGTAACACTTGGCTCCTGCAGCAGGTGCATTTTTGTCCTCTCACGGTTGAGCCCAGTGGGTTTCTTGGTTCTGTGCAGCAAGCGCAACTTCAGTTTTCCTGCCCTGGTCTCCCATACTCCTGCTGAGACCTGAAATAGGTACAATTCCATACCTTGGCAGACATGAATAATACAGGGACATCATTCTTAAGTAATTGTAACGATGGGAGGAATAATCATCCTATTCTACTTATTAGATACTTTCTGTTTTAAGATGAAAAGTGAACATCATAACAGTTTTCCAAGAAAGGGGTTGTCAGCAGTTTCAAATAACTGTTTTGAAATGGAGTAGGAATGGTGCTTACCTTCTTGATTTGTTTATGTGTTTTCCTTCTTGACATCCAGTAGTAAAGGCCCTTGTATACAGCAGGGAAATCATGCAGCACCAATTAAACATGTCCTACTCCAGTCCTTCACTTAATTCTGTATTTACAGCAGAGTGATGAAGGGATGTGTTTCATCACAGTGCAGATACAGAAATGTCCCAGAACATCCCATCACACAAACCTCCAGTGTTAAACTGATAATGTAGTGACAGTTTAATATAGTGACAGTTCTTAGACCAGTCTCTCAAAATACCAGTCAAAGGAGTTTTCTTTTCTCCTAGGTAGAGCAATGTTTGAAGCGCCTGTGGAAAATGAATCTCGTGGGTTGCCTGGAAACTCTGGTAGAACTGATTCCCAAGTAAGTGATATGATCCCATATCTTGTACTATCCATTAACTCAATCTGCAGAGTTAAAGGAAGAGGATGTTAGATCATAACCAACTCTTCATCCTTGTATCAACACAGGAAAAATGCATCCAAAGTCGACACAGAGTGCTTGGTTCCCAGCCAGCCTATGCTGGAAACTGTGGCTTTGAAGGTATTGGGAGGCTGCAAGCTCCTATTACGCCTACTGGATTGTTGCCGTAAAGCTTTTCTGTATCCTTTTTTCACCACAAAAACATTATGTTAGAATTCACCAGTAGCACCTCATGAGACCAAAACGAGGTTTTGTGTAGGCCCTGGATTGCTGATGGACTCAGCTGTGCAATTCATACATGCAACTTGAAGTTTCTGTGATAGCCAGAAACCTTCTTTTCAAGTTATTATGTAGGAACCTCAGGCTGTTTGGCTAGCAGCTGTTCTGGCCTTGAGCCAGAACAGTATCCAAACAAAGTCTGGATACTCATCTCCCAGATTATTCCAGGATATCGCCTTGTGAATTGCCTCTAGTTGGTGTGTTCAGCAGGTCTCATTACATGCTGTTTGTTTTTTTAACCTTAACTGCTCTAATCTTCAGCTTGTCCATTAAACACCTCTGCTCGAAGGAATTCATACTCCTGAATACTGTGGCTTCGGGGCTCCTAAGCCGGCTCTGGTTTGTGTGTTCAAAAGTCTGTCTTGTTTGTGTCTGTCTGTTTGATGTGCCTGTCAGGGAGAAGGGCTTGTAATTAGGCCTTGCTGCTAAGGGAGCTTTATTCAGTTGGGAGTAGGAGAAGGGAGGTCCCTTCATGCCTTTGGACTTGATTCTAGCACCTGCAGAGCTGTACAGGTGGAGAGAGACTTCTTACATATTCTTATGGAAGGCTTTGTTCTTGGATCTTAATAAACTGGCTGTACCTCTAATGAAATCACAGTGTTAGTGTCAGCCTGCCACAAACACCTGGTACTCTGTGCCTCACGCTGAAATGGAAAGGCTGGGTTAAACATGTTCTATTATACTGTTGAATTTTCTAGGGGAATTGGTTGTTCTGGTTTCTCTCAGTCTGGGAGAATAACTGCTGTCTGTAGCTGAAGGAGTAACAACATTGTTAGAACAACTTTCTGTGGCACAAGAAATCTTCTAACTCCAGGAAACGTAGAGCAGGCAATTGTGTGGCATCAGGCCTGAGTTGGTGCAGGGTGCTTTTGTGGGAAGACCTCATGGCACCTTGGATGTGACCCAAGAACCTGATGGATCCCAAGTGTGGCACTCAGCAAAACTCTATGGAAGTGGAGGGGCTACTGATCAGGAATTTTCAAGACACTCCTGCATTCTGATCTGGAACAGTTCCTTAAAGCTCAGACTTAAGGAAAGCAGGGTGATAGAGTGTAAAAAGGTAAATTTGTACTGAAGGGAAACAGGGAAAGGACCATTGAGCTGAAGGCAGTTGTTCAGTGAGCATCACGTTTTGCTAGAGGAGACTCCATTCCTTTTTGTCCTCTGTCTACAGGATTCAGTACAGGTGTGTATTGCAGACCCTCATATCCTTGTACAGTGCCTTGTCAACAATGCTTCATCTGGTATCTGAGACCCAACAGACCCCTTATATCAAGGGGTTTGCCTTCCCCTCTGATATCTGTGACTTCCTTGGAGTTAACGTATCTTCTGAGGCAAAGACACAAAATGCTAAAATGCTTACAACAAAAAAATCTACCAGCTGGATGAAGAAGTTCTTCTCAGCATTTCCAGAGGCAGTATCAAAGGTTGGGAAAAAGAAAAAACCTGAGACCTGTACAAGTGCTGTGAAAAACCGTAGCATCCTGTGCTCTGTGGACATTGGAGAGGCAGTTGTGGCGCCCACAACCAGGAGAGGTAAAGCTTTATGCCAGTGTAGTGGTTTCTGACATCTCAGAGACCGACTGCAACTTCTGTCCAACAGGGCCAAGCACTTCTACTACCCACAGTGTGGTTCTTGTACAAACTCCCTGTCCTTGGAAGAGAATGCTGCATGTGCCCTTGCCTTTATAAAGCTGTGGATAATGTTGGTATCGTGATTTTTGGGGGGTGTGTCTTTTAAAAATGATACAGCCTTGAGAGAAGCAGGTAATGAATGCAGTATACAGGTCCTGAAAACAGTTATTTGTACTTTCCTGCTTTTGCATAGCTAAGAAGCTATGGGCACTGTCTGCAGTCCGTACAAGAGTAGGTAAGGCTGTATGTACAGGATGCAAGTATCCTGTGCTTGCTGGTTCTGAGCTGTGCCCAAATCTTCCTCTGCAGTCAGGGCAATGGCCAGTGACTGCAGCCATCTATGTGTTTGTGTGAAGCTTTTTATCCATTAAGTTCTCCTTTGGAGCCATCTGTAAACCTCTGCATGCTCTTCATTCCTTGCCAGCTGCAATGCACGAGTGTAGTCCCCTTGAGTTTGCCTGGAAATGTTGAGTACAGGTGTGAGCCTGCTGAGAGCTCTGTGGCATCTCTGTGCAAAGAAATAAAACTACCTCAGTGTTGTAATGGAACTTTCTTCTCTGTCTGTAGGGAAGCACTCAGGGTTTGATGTGAAGAGCCTGCTCAGGCCATCCAGACATCCCACACAAAAGGTTTGGATGGTATTGTTTTATATGTTAGGTTGGTGGTTTGGGTTTTTTTACACAATAGTTTTGGGTTTTTTGGTATTTTAAAGACTCTTAACACTTGAAATATGAAAATGTCCCCTTTTCCTGCCTTATTTTTACTTGTCTAGCAACTCAGGTTAGTTCTCGGGTTCCCTATCATCGGGATGACCCCGAGCCAGCCCGATGGTCGCAGTTCTTCGTCTGTGGTTCTCAAGGTCGTTTATTGTTGCTTATCTAAGATGTTTTTTCTCCAGCCTGCCACAGGCCTGTCTGGCAGGTCGGTTCGAGGCACACTACACGCCTCCCGGGATGGTGCTATCTTTTATACTAAAAACTACGTATACTATGTTTACAGTTACTTTCCAATACCTGTCACCTGTGTTAGACAGTGACTTTCTACTCTAAACCAATCTGTGAGTGCCAACATCATCCTGAGCATGGATGCCAGGGGGAAGAAAGAAGAAGGACAGGGCACGCCCAAATCCCTCCATCTTTGACCCCCTGACCCCCATGTACAGAATCCCCCTGTACAAGGTTCTAAATCCCCCTGTACATGGTTCCAAAATTTCCCCTTCACCCCGTGCTTACTACTACTATGCTACTTAGACTTTTGTGACCTGCAACTCTTCATATAAGGTTGGTAATTTCTCCCAGGGGCTAAGATTGAATCCCCAAGTGTTTTTGGCCTTCTGCCAGGGCTTATCAGCCCCCTGCCAGTGGCTCAAGCCATCCAGGTCACCCAGAGGGGTGTCCTGGGTTCCGACAGTTAGTGTGGAAGCTTTGCACAGAAAATCAGTGACTACTTATTTCTGATTAGGAATTTGGGCATTTGTTGGGTTTGTCAAGTGAAATGACCAGAGACCACGTCAGCAGTAGACAGGAATACAAATTCTAAAGATCTGCCTCTTCTTTTTGTATTCCACAAAACAAGACTGCTCTTCCCTTTTCTCCTTAGAAAATAAGGAATGTTCTCACAAAAGTCCCTGTGTTCTGCTCCCTTCCAGCAGAAAGGATCAGACACATCATCTTTTTAAAACATTATTTCTGTTACTGTTTGTTTCAGGATCTAAGCATTGG